AATTAAACAACTTTACATAAAGACTTTAAAAAATTATAATCATGTAAATGTACACTTACCTTCTCCATGTAAAATTTTGTGGATGTTAACTATCAATTTAATTGTGAAAATATTTCGTTTTTATTAGCCTAAAAAGCTTTTATCATTGACGACAAAACTACATACCCAACAATTTTTAAAAGAATAAATTAATATAAAGATATTTATTTATATTTAAAGTTTCAGGAGGATTAAAGTCATATATTTAATCTTCGTTAACTTGAAATAGATAATGTGAATTTACCAGTCACTTCAAAAAAATTGAAATTTTAGATTTTCAACAAGTATGTGTTATGTATTACAATTTTAGTGGCTTAATTACAGGAATAGTAAAGGGAATTTAATTTCTTTCAAATATTTTAGAAATATTATAATACTGTATAATTACTAAGTACATTAACATAGCTCTTACATGAATTATATTGTATATTAATCAAAGTACCATTAAAATAGTTGAAAAAATAATTTTTAAAAGGTAGTGTAGTATATAAAAACAACTCTAGTATTGTATAAAAATCATAATGCCTAATATTTGATTCGTATGAATAATTTTTTTTTAACTAGTAATAAAAGATTTGGTTGAAAACACTTAGAATGAATCTAATGGATTTGAAATTGGACAACAACCTGCTATTTTCTAAAGTGGTAAGACTTATGTTGTAACCAAAATAAATTAATTTTCTTGAAGTGCTTAAGGATTTATCCATATTTGTAGTTGAGTCTTTAACGTCAGAACTCAATTACAAACATGGATAAATCCTTAAGCACTTCAAGAAACAAGACAATCCATGAAAGCTTTAACACATTCATTAAATTAATTTTATTTAAAATTAGTTCAATGGAATGAATTAATCACTTAGAGCAATATTATAATACTTAAGAGAAGAAATTTTATATCAGTCTTGAAGGCAAATTACTGTCTTAATTAGTAATTTAATAAATAAAAAAATAAGAATTCCAAATAAAAAAAATAATTTAATAATTTAAATAATAAATAACTCTCTTAAGGTAATCAAACAATTCTAGGGGGTGTCACTAGAATCTTAAAAGTTCATTATTAACGGCCACTCTAACTGACACTAAATAGTATCTTCCAAATCTACTATGGTAATGTTGTCATTTTTAGTAGCTAATAAATAAATATCACAAATATTTTACTGTTTAAGATATTTTATTTATTTTTTGCAGATTATTATTAAAAAGTAACAAAAAATTCATAAGTAGGCAGCTAGGAGACACTGATTCAATGCTTATAAAAGAGTACTGAACAGAACAGTAACTGACTGAAGAGACTTCCATTCTACTAGAGTAATGCTGTCAATTTTAATAGCTAATAAATATTAAAAATATTTTACAATACTATTTATAAAAATTAATAATTTTATGTGCTTAATTGTGATGATTGATAATAAAAAATAAATTCTGTACTCTCACATTTACTAAGCCAATATATTGTAAAACAAATTATAAATCATATTTAATGTGTTAAAAATTTCATAATACCTAGACATATTTTATTATTATTAAATTATTAATTTGTATAGTATTCAAAAAAAAAGATGCACCTAAATTTTATTATACTAATGGGAGTAAACCTATTATTTAATAAATTTTTAATTTCAAATACTAGATTATTTTCTCATAATGCTATTCAATTTTAGTTTCTAATGAAATAGACAAAAATTATTCAATACGTGTATAAAAAGTGATTATTTTGTATATTTATATTCATTACAAATGTTATAAAATATAAATTCTGTACATTCTTATTTAAGATTATTATATATTGTAAAATAAAATACAAATCATTTTAGAGTGCATATAAGTCATAATACCCAAATATTTTCTATTATTATTAAATGAGATAACACTTTTATAGTTTATTAAATGATTACTTGATAATATAACAAAATAAAGGACAGCCTTGCTATTGAAAGTAAACTAAAAATGTAAAGAATTCAAATTTTATATCTTATATTCTAAATTTTTTTAAATAACGCAGATAATTTTATTTGCTAATAATTATCTCAGTCTTTATTCTGTTCTTAAAATATATTTAAGTTAAATTTAAAAAATTATTATTGATTATTTGCAGCTTATTATTATAAGTAAAAATGTAATTAAACCTACTTACAAAAAAATTAAAAACACTTTGAATAGAAAATAATATAAAAAGAAATTTTAGCGATTTCAGTACATTTACATTTTTGTAATCAACAATTTAAATAATAAATAATAATAATAAAACAGAATAATTTAAATAAAGTAGCTTTAAATACAGATAAAAAATGAAACATAAAACAAAATTTAATTTAATTTATACAAAAACAAATATACTAGAAAAATGAATAAAAATACTATATGTTATACAATAAAATGTATAACACGATGTATTAAACTTTATTTTTTATTAAATCATGTCGTCCGACTGCAATCTGTGGCAAAAATAAAACAATTATAAGATATTTATATAATTTCAAAAGTCGGTGGTATTATAAATGGTAAGTTTATAACCATTGAAAAATAGGAAATGTGGAATCGATATAATGTGGATAATTAGATAAATTGGCTGAATTAGAAATATAATTTTACAATAATAATCGGCACATTATGAATACTTGAGATGATTTTTGTTCGTATAAATTTTGTTGTCATTAGATAAGAATTTCGTGTTCATATTGAAAAATCGACCGAAAAACGCAGTTATCGAATCGTGTCTTTCGTCGATATAATTGTGTTGAATTTCCATGTTGAACGTCATATATTTTAAATATATTAATAATATATTGAAGTGGTTTATCCTCCTTGAGCTGGTATGATACTCGGCTTTTTCAGATTTTAGGTAATGTACTAATGTTCTGTATGCAGTAGGGTCCGTAGTTTGAATTTTCAATGAGTTTGTTGACGATTTACAAATAAAATTGTCGACGCCTATAAGCTCTATTAAGACTGTGCAAAGTGCGGGAAAATCTTCGACACCTTTAACAAATATTGGCGAAGGAGATTTAATAAGTGTGTTTTCATTATTCATTATGTTATTTTCAGCATCATATTGAAGAGAGTTTGTAGATATATTTACAGTAGTGGGCGAGTCGAAAGGGTCATCTTGAACAAGCAGTTCGAACCTGTTGCGTGTAGCAAATAAATTTTTTTTTATTTGTTTATTGTTTTCCTTTGTATCCAAATTCGTATTCGGAGATGAGGGATCGGATTGTGAGTTTGAGGAGTTGGAGTGTAGTTGTTTGTTTGTTTGTTTGTATTGACCATCCACTGTCTATAGCAGTGGTCGGCAACCTTTTTTAATTCTCGGGCCACATTTACAAATTAAAAAGAGTTCGCGGGCCAGATAAAAAAAAAAAATTTATAATTACATTATTTATTATGCAAAAAAATACTATCTAAAACTTAAAATAATAATATGACTTATATAAAATACCCGTACCAAAAACGCAACGTTCAATTATATTTATACAAAATGATATTCAATTAAATTAGTCGATTTAGAATTTAAAGCGGGCCGTATTCAATAGCCACGCGGGCCGTATCCGGCCCGCGGGCCGCCGGTTGCCGACCACTGGTCTATAGTATTAGCTTCTGAGTTCATTGGTGTAGTTGTTTTTGCGATAGTAATCGACGGAACGGTTTTCGTCGTTTTGTTATTAATTTTATTATTAGGACTGTTTGGTTGATTATTTTTCATGGTGATTTCGATAGAGAGTTAATGTTGGACTTGGGTCGAGCGATAAATTAAACATTACCGGCAACTTGATAACGCGTGAGCGCAAGGCGCAACGGCGAGCACTAAGACTATACTATTGTAGCAGATAAGCGGTGTGCGAGACAATATACGTGCGGACTGTACGGCATCTGGGCACGAACATCTAATAGAAACAATAGAAAATTTTCTAATAACTCTTATGAAACATAAATTAAAATATTAAAAATATATTAATATTAAATGAATAAAATATATTCAAATGAATATGTTGAAAAATAACTTGCAGCATTCAATTTATTTTAAGAATTATTTATTATAGAATATAATACGAAATATATTTCGAACAAAGAAATTTTGGTTATTTTAGTATATTTACATTTTTATTATCAACAAAATATGTACAAGAATAATTTAAAGTAGTAATCTACAAATAAAAAATCAAACATAAAACAAAATTTATAAAAATATATGTTATACAATTAAATGTATATAATCATAACACAATGATATAAACTTAATTTTTCAGTAAAATATTATGTCATCCGACAGCAGCTGCGGCAAAAATGAAAGAATTATAAAGTATTTATATAATTTCCGAAGTCGGTGGTATATAACGTTAAAATATTGAAAATTAGAATATGTGGAAATTCGTAGATGTAAATTGGATGAATTATAATTTAACCATAATAGTAATCAGCGAATTCTAGATATTTGAGATGTTTTCTATTCGTGTAAAGTTTGTTGTCATTAAATAAGTACTTTTTGTTCATGTTGAAAAATCGCCCGAAAAACGCAGTTATAGAATCGTGTCTTTCGTCAATGTAATTGTGTTGAGGTCGAATAATTTTGCAATTTGCATTAACTAGAAAATTAATTGATCAACATTAATTACACTTGTGATTTATCTATCGAAATTAGATTAATTTTCCTCCTTTCGATCTTTAGTTTTAGGGATGTGCAGTGCTACGTTGGGAGCAATACTCATCAGGTCAAAGAGTTTTTTATACGTAATCGTTACACATATGATTCTCGAGACTTTAAACTTCGTGTTTCTTATACGAAGGGCCGCCCCCATGAGGGAGACGTCACTATGATCTGTGGCTTATATTTTTTTAACGTTTCTGCAATCTCGAAAAAATATCCCTGTATAAATATAATTTTGTCCCTGACTCCATAAATCTCTGCATTTCTTTTGGCGAATTCTTGTTTTTTAGCATCGATATCCACAGCGATTACTCGTGTGTATCTCTTGGCAATTGGATGACGTTTCCACTAGCACCACAAAACGGATCCATAACGACGTCTAAACTGGGACATCTCAACGCTATATGTTTGCTTAAGATCTCAGGACAAACGGAATAAAATGATTCTGAAAAATGAAAAAACGTTATCGTTAATAGTAAAATACTAAAGTTTGTATAAATAATTATTTTATTACCATTGTCCATCATGATTCCTTCGTCGAATTTAGAGAACAATAAGTACCTCTTATCCCATAATTTTTTTTAATATCATGTGGACGAGTTTTAGTAGCGGTTTTTTTGTTATTAGTATTTTCACATCCTAAAATTCTATTCTTTTTAGTATTTTCCAGGGTTTAATGATGTAATAGGTTCAGTATTTTTACTTAGTAACGAACTGTCAGTGTTAGATGTTTGATTAATTTCTGTTAATTTTTTTGACGGTTTTATATTAAAGTTGTTAGAATTATTTATTAAAGTGTTGTTTTCTTGAGTTGATGTGTTAATTTTTCCAGGCAATGTTTGTCGCGGTCGCATCTCATTTCCGGTGTTACCACCGGATGGCGTTCGCGGCGCTTCCTCTTCACGTCCGACAGGGCGCGCTATTGGCGGTGACTGACGGTCGGTGAGAACCGGTCGCTCGACGCTGGACATTCAAGAATGATTAATTCAATTATCGTCTTGCCATCTGTCACATTGACTAATAATATTGATTAAAATATATTGTATTGCTGTTAATAATAGTGTTATTACTAGTATCAATAAAAATACTTAGTGGTTATTAATTAATTGTTACTTTATTATTAGAACCTCAACATGTTTTAAATAGTTGAGTTGAATAATTGTTTTGTAGACTGATATGTTTGTGTTAAAAGAATTATTAGGTAATACGGAAGTGTTTGTAGATGTGTTGATGGGCTGTTTTTCAATTTGTATATTTTCAGAGTTCATATTTTAACAGATTCAATTTCGTTATTCATTATTGAAATATTCGTGTAAGGTGTTATAGTATTATTTTCTGGCAATATTTTTGACGGTGTGATCAAAAAATTATTTTTCGACGATGTATTTTCTAAGTTCAATGAAATATCTAGTATTGTGATTTTCTCTGTAGAAGTTTTAGAGGGCTCTTTTTCAGTGTCAGTAATCGAATTTGTCGTAAATCTATCTTCTCTAAGTGGTTCTTTTAAAATTGAATTATTTGAAATAATAGGTATCTCCAAATTAATAGTATGTGTAGTCGAAATCCGGCAAGTATTCATAATAATTTCTACTTTTTCAGTTAAAGTCTTTTTCTTCTTAGAAAGTTTTATTTCCAAAAAAGTCTGCAGTGACACAATTGCCAGTGCAATAAACATAATATCTCTGATTACTTGAATCGGAATTATGAAATATATGACTAACGTCGTTATCACGAAATACAAATCCGAATCCATTTTTCTTATAAATGTATGCACTGAACACTTGAAATTTTTAAGTTATACTTAGAAAAAAATGTAAGATGTATATATTTTTAAATATATATGCGTACTAAATGTTCACGGCAAAAAACTTAAGCATAAGATCACCATGCGGTGTCGATTTAAACATTATTTCTCCTATTTAAGCAAAAAAAAAAAGTTTTGTTAACTTTTTATTGAAGCCAATTAATTTAACAAAACATTTTTTACAATTGGCCAACAATTATTAAATTTGTCTAGTAAAACAACTTTAAAATTGCTTTTTATTCTGACATACACATGTACATAGAGATTGATTAACTATGCCTCACAAATTATCTGAGAAAATATAAGTTATCTTTCTTTTCTAAATGAAATATTAAATATATATTTTGGTCTGCTCAGTGAGTAAAATTAATTTTGATGAGCATCCTTTCTGCTTTAAATCAGTATCAACTTTTACTTTTCAAATGGAAACTCTGATTTATATATATATAATCAAATTCGATTTAGTTTAAATTTTTTTTTATTTTATTCAATTATCAGCGAGCTATGATTCATTAATGTTTAGGAGACGTGACTATACATAAGTTTTTCCCGTTTCAGTACAATACACCAGTAGTTTCTATCGATACATTAAATATTCTTTTTCCATTTTCTTTTAATTCTACAAATGTGTAATGATATAAATGTTACTAAAAAAATAGAAAAAGCGATTGACATTTGAAGATAGAAACAAATATTTACAATGTGTAAAATTATGAGCAAAATTAACTTTACCAAAGATTATGAATTATTCTATTAAAAATTGTTATTAAATATAAAAATATTTTTAAATCTTCGAAATTTTATTAAAAATAATAAATAATATTTATAATTTAGTTTTGTTAAGTTGGCTATACGGGAAATTTTACATTAATAGGAATCGTCTCTATGGTAAAAAAAACATATCTTTAGCAACACACAATATATTATATTTTTATAGTTATATTATTATTTTCAATATATTTTTAAAAGAGTAGTGTAGTGAATTTTGTTTTACAAATGATACATTATTGTCTTTGCTATCAAACATCAATGATTTTTAAAATATAATTACTGGCTAAACGTTAATGTTATAATAGTAAAGTATTCTTGATTATTCAAAGTTACAATTACCATGGAAACAAATTACTTTTAATACACATTGCAATTTTCTTAGTAAATTGAAGTTATTTCATACTTTTTAATAAAAGAAATTTTCTTTCTTCTTGTGTATAAGGACTAAATAATCATACTAGCAAGTTTTCAACGTTTCATGAAATGTACATTAAATTATTTATGGTGATGTCCTTTTTTTTTAATATAATCCAATACAATTTTCAAAAGTTATTAAATGCAGTACGATAAAGATTATTTGCTGTTGAACATTCAGAATTAATCCAGTCGTAAGTACATTTATTAAAATATTATTTTAAAATATCTAAAATTTCAATAAATTACCATCAATATAGATATTATTCAAGGTATATTTACTTTATAATAATTAAACATTATCCAGAAAAAAATGTGGTCATTAAAAAAGTATACCACTTTATTTATGTAAATTACTAGTTAAATTTGTTTGAAACCTTATTAAGATATATTTTTTTAAGTTTAAATAATTGCTGTTTATTTATCATGTATGTTTTAACAACTATTCATCATAATTAAAATTTATTATATTTGTTAAATTCACTAATTGTATTATATACTTTATTTGCATATTAGTACTAATAGTAGTAATTACACANATATATACTTTATTTGCATATTAGACTAATAGTAGTAATTACACAAACAATAATACATTATTGGGAGGGTCGATAATAATGTTAGAAATATATTTTTAAATGATAATGATTAAATTGTTTTAGAAATAATTATTATTATTAAAAAAAAAACCTTTGGAAAATTATATATATATTCAATGAGGTTCTTTTAATTTTTTGTCAATTTAGTAATACTTGAATAAAGAAGTTTGGNTGAATAAAGAAGTTTGGAAATTAACTTTTTTTTCCAAACATATTTTATAAAATTGATAAATTATCTCTCAGATTTAATGTTGGCCATTCTATTTCTCTTGGAAAAAATATTGAGAGTCATCTTTTAGCTTTCATTATATACATATATTTCTTTAATTNTTTTCATTATATGCATATATTTCTTTAATTATCTATAGTTATAATTTTTTTCTATAAACTTTTAATAATAATAAATTTATCATTTGGTTTTTTACTATAATAAACTTTCCAATAATAATTAAATTAATTAAATTGAAATTCAGAAAAGTTGTAAGAAATATTATATCAAAATTAAGGCTAGAATGATGTCTANGAATTGAAATTCAAAAAAGTTGTAAGAAATATTAGATCAAAATTAAGGCTGGAATGATGTCTAATTATTAAATTTGGCTTATATAATTAACCAAGATGTATTTTTATTATTCTATATTTGTGCTCTAGAATTATTAGCTATGTGATAATTTTTAAGTCCAACCC